AATTTACAAAATAAAGGGTTTTTGGGCAGATATTAATAATTAAAAACGTCATGCGTGTTGTTATATATTCAAGAAGAGTTATTTATGTTATATTATATAGAGGCAAGTTGACCTCACCAAATAGTTTAAATGTTAACTTATCGGGCCTGGTGAAGGAACCAAACCAGGATGAGTCATTCGGGCAAAGTCCAAGAGGCTGACTAGCCGATCGAGAAGGCACAGTGACGGAACGCCATTCGACGTTATGAACCCGGTGAGTAAAGTCAACTCGTTCGCTTACAGTGTTAGTAGCCTAGTCTGCCAGTGTCCTGTACTTGTCCGGTTCTGTTCATTTCCAACGTCCGAGTCATAAAAGTGGCGACGAGGATAAAACTAAAGTTTATTTTACTGTGTGCGGTTAAAACAAGAGTTTTAACGAGTACGTTTGTAAATATTATTACTATTTTTTCTCGCGATTTTCGGAATATTTGTCGTTTTTAGCAGTGTCCTGCAAGTTTGAGTTGGTCAAGTTGAACCTGAAAAACTTTGTCGTACTTTGCAAAGAGAGTAAAAAGTTGGTTTTTGGGTAAATTGGTGGAAGATTTGTATATATTTTGTATATATTTTGCATTGGAGGAGTTTACGAAGAGTATTTTGTGGAAAAATTCCTGGAATTATGGACGGTGGATGCTGATTGCTCTCTACTGGCAAGTTGGTACCACGTGTTGCACATTGTGCAAGGGATTGTATTTACACTTGTGGCTTCATTTTACCGTAAGTTTGGACTTATTTACTGTAGGCCTATGGAAATAAGGTACAATGGGAACAAAACAAGTATTAGGAAAAATTCAAGAATTCAATGGTGAGTTAGAAACCTTCGAAAACTATGTTGAGAGGTTAGACCAATTTTTTAAAATTAATACGATTAAGAATGAGGACAAGGTCTCTTATTTTATCTCTCTCATGGGCCCTGAATTGTATTCAACCCTTAAAAACATTCTGATGCCAAAAAAACCTAGTGAGGTTACTTATGACGTAATAGTAGCACAGCTTACAGCCCATTTTGTACCTAAGAAGAATATCTCTTATGAGAAGTTTGTTTTTAATAAAAGGAGTCAAAGAGAGGGGGAGACTGTCTCAGACTTTGCTATTCAATTAAAAAAATTAGCGGCTTCTTGCAAATTTGAAAAATTCTTGGATGATGCCCTTAAAGATAGATTTTTGTGTGGACTCAAATCAAATCAAGACTGTCCAATTGGAAATCAAGCATGCCAACATGTTGACGTGTTCACCTGCAAACTGAAAGCCATAAAAAATATCATAGTTTAAGTTGTTATTGTTATTGTTATTTTGTTGATGAGAAATTGTCCTGAGATCACTGTCCGGAATTTGCACCTTGTTTGTTGTTTGCACATTCAGATAAATTTGTATTGCACTGTTAAAATTTTTTACTTAGTTTACGTCACTGTTATTGATTGTTGTCATTTTTTCTCTTTTTTTTTGTCTTGTCTGTCAAATATATTTATATTTTTGCTTGTTATTGTTATTATATTGAAATATTTATCAATTGTTATCTAGTTTTGGTAATCGTATTTTTCTTTAAAAATGTTTATGCTTGTTAACTAGGATTTATAATACGCATGATCCAATTTTTGTTAAAGCATTTTTGGACAATTCTGTTGGTGTAATTTTTTCATGTTAGCAATCTTTTTTTTTCAGCAAGATGAATCTGAATCTGACTTATATATATTTATAAATATTTTATTGTATTGCCCTCATGTATTATCGATTGTAAAAATGGTGTTTACCGTATGATAAATAAATAAATAAATAATTGATATCCAAAGTAGGTTGTTGTCTGAGGGAGACACTTTAACTTTTGAAAAGGCTTTGGAGTTGGCCTTGGTCCTAGAGGAGGCTAGTAGAAATGTTAAGAGTTTTCATCCTGGAGTGTACCAGAACGACAATCAAATATCTGAGGTTAATTACGTTAAGTATAGGCCTAAACAAAGGTTTGGCCCTAGACCTAGTAGTAGCGAAAGTTTGAGTAGGCCAAGTTGGCCTAATTCAAGGCAAGGTTTACACCAGTTGTGTACTTGTTGTGGTAGAAACCATGAGAGTAAAAATTGTATGTACAGGACTTACAGTTGTAATATTTGCCATAGGAGGGGTCATTTGGCAAAAGTTTGTCGGCAGGCCGCCAGTAGGCCTAGTACTAGAATTAACTATTGTGATGATGGCGATGAAGTTGTAAATCCTCAACCAGGTGCGGAGCATGATAGTGGTGAAGAAGAGCTTGGGCTGTACACCATAGCCTATTCTGACTCTAAGAATAAATCTGGCGCAATTACAGCTGATGTAATGGTAAATGACGTATGTGTTAAAATGGCTATTGATTCGGGGGCAGTAGTATCAGTGATGCCTGAGGATGTTTTCCTCCGGCTTTACCAGGGGCAAGTGCCTAAGCTAAGGGAGAGTAAAATGAGATTGAAGACTTATACTGGTCAATGTATTGAAGTTTTGGGAGAGTTTCAGGCAAATGTTTCGGCTGGAGATGAGTCGCATGTTCTGCCGCTGGTGGTTGTACGGAATGAGCAACCAAATCAACCTTCGCTTTTGGGGCGAAACTGGTTGGCGAGACTTAAGTTAAACTGGAGGGAGATCATGAGGAACTGGCAACCAAAGAGTGGGACTGTCATGCAGCTTGAAGGTAGGAATGTTCCATATACATCTACTTCTAGTGTTGAGGATTTAAAATCAAGATTTCCTACTGTTTTTGAGCCTGGTATAGGAACAATTAGAGATATTAAAGTAAACCTAGTGTTGAAAGAAAATGCCAATCCGGTCTTTTGCAAGGCTCGTAACGTACCATATGCGCTGCAGGATGCGCTTGAGAAAGAAATCGATAACTTAATCAGGAATGAAGTGATGTATCCTGTGACCCAAACTAATTGGGCCACTCCTGTTGTTTTGGTTGAAAAGGGTAACAACTCTATTAGAATTTGTGGTGACTTTAAACAGACAATTAATCCTCAGTTACGCACAGATTATTATCCACTCCCTACTCCAGATGAGATTTTTGCTAAAATTGATGGTTCAAAATTGTTCTCAAAAATTGATTTGTCAGCTGCATATAATCAACTTAGAGTAGACGAAAACTCTCAGGAGCTTCTAACGATTAATACGACTAAGGGTTTATTTCGTTATTCTCGCCTCCCTTTCGGAGTGACAAGCGCTGGGGCCATTTTCCAATCCGTCATGGACAAGATTTTGAATGGGTTGGATAGAACATTTTGCTATCTAGATGACATTTTGATTGTGGCTCAAACTCATGAGGAAATGCACCGAAATGTGGTTGCAGTATTGTCGAGACTAGAGCATTATGGGGTAAAAATAAACCCCGCTAAGAGTGAATTTTTTAAGGATAGCCTAATTTTCTTAGGGCATAGGCTAAGTGAAAATAAAATACAGCCTAGTGAAGAACTGTCTAAAGCTATTGTTAGTGCTCCCAGGCCAGAAAATGTGACACAGCTACGATCCTACCTGGGGTTGATCAATTATTATAGTAAATACCTCAACAACTTGTCTAATTTGCTCCAACCATTGTATGGTCTGCTAAACAAGGGGGTCAAATGGGGTTGGTCTGAACAGTGTGAGGAAGCGTTCCAGAAGAGTAAGGAGCTTTTGTTAGGAGATAGAGTTTTGATTCCATACGACCCAAAGTTAAAAGTGATTGTATCAGCTGATGCCAGTCCTTATGGGGTAGGACCGGTTATCTCACACCAAATGCCTGATGGGTCTGAGCGACCCATAGCCTATGCTTCCCGAACACTAACGGTGCATGAAGTGAAATACTCGCAAATAGAGAAGGAGGCCCTCGCCTTAGTGTTTGCAGTAAAAAAATTTCACATTTTCCTTTATGGCAAGAAGTTTCTTTTGGCTACTGATCACAGGCCTTTGACGTTTTTATTAGGCCCTACCAGGAGTATACCTACCTTAGCCGCTGCCCGTGTACAACGTTGGGCTCTGATCCTATCGGCCTATGAATATGAGATTGTTTACAAGAAGGGTTGTGATATGGCCAATGCCGATGGGCTTTCAAGGTTACCATGCCAAAATGAGAAGCCGGGACCGGAAAACACAGTTGCGTTTTTCTCCATAGCAAACGAACTACCGGTTACTGCCAAAGAAATTAGTACAGCAACTCGTTACGACCCGATCTTGTCAAAGGTTCTTGATTTTACGATCCATGGATGGCCAGAATACGTAAGCAACGAACTTCTGAAACCGTATGTTGTGAGGAGCCATGAATTGTCCGTGGATGGAGATTGTGTTTTGTGGGGGAGGAGAGTTATTATCCCGGAACCGTACCGGAAAGAAATCTTGTTTTTGCTACACAAAGAGCACCCTGGAGGCTCAAGAATGAAAAACCTGGCACGAGGGTATGTATGGTGGCCGAAAATGGACTCGGATATTGAAGAGCTGGTTAAAGGCTGTGGAATTTGCCAATCAACTCGCAACGCTTTGCCCCTTGCCCCATTACAGCGCTGGTCTTGGCCTAACCAGCCCTGGCAGAGAGTCCATGTGGATTTTGCGTCTTTCCATAACAAGGAATTCCTAATTCTGGTGGACAGTTACTCTAAGTGGCTGGAAGTGTTTCAAATGCAAACGACAACATCGGCAAAGACAATTGAAAGATTGAGATCTTGTTTTGCGGTATTCGGACTGCCTTGTACTCTGGTGAGTGATGGAGGACCTCAATTGAGATCCCAGGAATTTGAAGAATTCCTAAAGGCAAATGGCATTTTGCATGTAGTTAGTCCGCCTTATCATCCGGCTAGTAACGGCCTCGCTGAGCGGGCTGTCCAAACTACTAAGAACACCTTTTTGAGACAAATGCTGCAAGATGAAATGTCTAAATCTAACAGGTCCGTTCAACATCGCATTGATAGTTTTTTATTTGTGTATAGAAATACACCATAAAAAACCCGTATACAGCAACCGGTTGTTCCCCAGCAGAAATGTTTTTCAAATTCAAGCCTAGGACTCATCTTTGTTTGTTAAAGCCACATTTGGAAGCTAAGGTCAACGAAAATCAAGAACGTATCATTCAGACAAGGAACAAGGGGGTAACTCCCAGGAACTTTGATGTGGGACAAAAGGTATTCGTAAAAAGCGTCAGGAATGAAAGGTCAAACTGGCTGCCTGGTATTGTTGCAAAAATTGTAAGTCCCATGACCTATTTAGTGAAGACCGAGGGCCGTACAAGATTTGTTCATGCCGACCACTTACGTGAGAACCATGTGGTGTCAGAGGATGAAGAGGATACAAAAATTCCATGCCCAATACCAACTACGCAAATTATTAAATCACCCCCTGCAAGGCTGGATGTAGGAATTCCTGTACTTAGTACTCAGCCAGAGACATCTGATGTGCAAGAAAGTGTATCCCCATCCAACGAAGTCAAGAATAAAAGTCCAGGCCCGCATAAGAGTCCTAAGGTGCTTTTGCGTCGATCTCAAAGAGAGCGGCGAGCGCCTACAAAATTAGATTGGTAAAAAAGATTTGGTTTCCCCCCCAAAAGAAGAAGTTGTTTATTTTTGTTTTATAATCGGTTGGGAGGGAATGTTATATATTCAAGAAGAGTTATTTATGTTATATTATATAGAGGCAAGTTGACCTCACCAAATAGTTTAAATGTTAACTTATCGGGCCTGGTGAAGGAACCAAACCAGGATGAGTCATTCGGGCAAAGTCCAAGAGGCTGACTAGCCGATCGAGAAGGCACAGTGACGGAACGCCATTCGACGTTATGAACCCGGTGAGTAAAGTCAACTCGTTCGCTTACAGTGTTAGTAGCCTAGTCTGCCAGTGTCCTGTACTTGTCCGGTTCTGTTCATTTCCAACGTCCGAGTCATAAAACGTGTCTATTGAACTTAATAAGCATTATTAAGCTCAATAAATAAGCTCTAATAAGCATTATAATAGTTTGATGTTGAGTAATACTTCAAAGCTTAAATGAGTCCCTCCCTATACAGTTCATTTGTTTTGAAAACAACCTGTATGGTGCATAGTAGATGAGAAACAATAGCTAAGCAATAGTTCACAATGAACAATGAGCAATGTGCTCATGAATCATTTACATTTCAACAAAAGGTAAATATTCTTCCTTTCAGAGACTCTTAACGTTGTAAAATTCAATTAGAGAACCTCTTACCAAGCTTTTATAGCCAATTACTCTCTCGTTCCCTTGAAACAACGACTGAAATAGGTTGGTAAAATCAGCTGAAGTCTAGATTTAGGAAATGAATAAATATGGTGGGAAGTATCATTCTGGACCCACCCGGGAAGGTTTTCTCAGAACCCATGCGAAACCCGCTCGAGGCTTGCCGAAAGCGTAAAATACCATGATTACACACCTAATTGTAGGTGTTTATTTATTTGTTTATTTATTAACTAATTTATTTATTTATTTATTTTATTTATTCATTCATACGGTAAACACCATTTTTACAATCAATAAGTGGCAAGTTTCAAGATAAATATTTATCTTACTAATATTATAAATGTGAAAGTTTGTGTATTTGTTTGTTTGTTTGTTTGTTTGTTTGAAACCACTGGACGGATTGGGCTGAAACTTGGCATGATGATAGCTTACATTCCCGATTAACATATAGGCATATTCTTATCTCAAAAATCCTTTCGGGCTCCGCCCCAGTGGCTCTGTAATTCCCCATGTTAACCTTATGAATATTCATATTTAAAGGGAATTCAAGAATTTAGTCAGCTGTTTCAACTAAAAAAGTTGGTTCTATGATATGGAAAAGCATTAAAAAGTTATAAGATTTACGAACAGAGTGCAGCACTATATATTTTTTGCATTTATGAAAACAGCTAATTTGAACTAAGCAGCAAGAAAAAACTGTGATTCGCAATGAGAACTGTCAAAGTAGGATTGTTTACAGTTATGTTTATGTTTTTCATTTCATGAATAATTTGTGATATTTTGCGAATTGTTAATAATTTATTTTTCTCTATTGTTTAGGTGAAGTGGTAGAACATTATGGCTATGGTAGATGTGTAATACTATAGAATACTTTAAATTTAAAAAAGCAAATTTTATCAAGCTGTGTCCTTCCTTATTGCAAACGCAAAGCTTGATTATAACTGCAATCAGCATTTTATACTTATATTCCAACCCCGTATGAAGGACGGGTACTCTGCTAGTAAATATATAAGTCAAATTCAGATTCATCCTGCTAGACATTAAAAAAGATTCCCAACATGAAAAATGACATCAACAGGAATGTACCAAAAAAGGATTGGCAAAGGTTGGATCATACGTAATCAAGTACATAGTAAACATACATCCAAAATTTGAGAGAAAAATAAGATTAACAGATAAAAATAGATACATACTACAATATAATAAAAATAACAAACAAAAATATAAATATATTTGACAGAATAGAAAAAAAACACAATGACAATAAATATAATAACGGTGACGTAAACTATGAGTGAAAAATGTTAGCACTGCAATAAATATTTATGTGAAAGCGCAAACAAACAAGGCAGCAAATTCTAGACAATGACCCTAGCACACATTCTCATCAACCACATAACAATAAAAACTTCAACTAGGAAATTTTTATGGCTTCCTATATCCTTTTATGCCATCCTGCAACTCCTCCTACATGCGGCAGGTTGAAGTCACTAAGGAGGAGACACTTGAAGAAGTTGGGCCCGGTTAATAAGATCTGATCAACACCTCCACAAAAGCGATCATAATCAGCCGATGGTCTTTATGCGGAGGTATGTAAGAGGTTACAATTAGCACATTTTTTAGAGGGTTTATCTGGAGACTTAAAAAAATACATTCAATATTGGGGACAGGAGATGGCAATTCCTTGACCACTCTGATTTGATCGCAACAAGAACTACTCCACCACTGCAATTGTTGCTGGTTAAGAAGGAACGGTCCTTCCTAAATATTTTGTTTCCAGGGGGAACAATTTACTGGTTCAATATGTCATCTGAAAGATTAGTTTCCAGCAAATCAACAATATCGTAGACGGCAGTGGATAATAATTTCCTAAAAGTTCAAATCAAAATCAAATCAAATCAAAATGTCTTAATTCGTAAAAATAATCATTTTTACAGTTTTTACAAAATACAGTATCAGATTACCATAATAATATAACTGAGTACTTGAACTATACGAAATTAATCCCACATGGGAGAACCCGTGCGTGGGAGTGAGTCATTCTGTACTTTAATATGAAAGAAAAAAAAAGTTTTATACGTAATAAGAAACAAAACAAAATACTTCTGTTGCCAGCTTAGTGCGGAGTCCATTGACGTCTTGCATATACGCTTGGAGGTTGTTGCAATCATGTGTGACTAGATTTTTTTTTTCTCTTAACAATCTTAGGTACTCCATTTCAATATTTAATCGTGAGATTAGTATCGCCATTTTTCTTTAGCGTTTCCAGAGTATCACGAAGTTCCTTGAGATGCCTTCTTTCCTCGTTAGTCCTGTCTCTGGCGACCTTAACATTCTCTAGTCTTGAGTCAATTTCTGTGAAAGCTGATTCATTAAACTCTCTCATAAATGTGGCAACGCTAGATCGATCCTTGAAGCAAACTTTTAGTGGTCTACACTTCCTTGCCGAAGAATTCTGGCCAATTCGAAAGAAGCCATACTCCAGTTCATTGTCAGACTTACAAAAAAACTCAACCAATTTAGAGACTAAGCTAGATCTAGAGACTAGATGGTGTTGTAGCGTAACATAGTCTACTTATACATCGGAAAAATATGTGTACGATATGTTAAATTGAATATCAGTCTTACAATAGTTTTATCTTTTTTGTACGGGAAATATATACAAGTAAATGGGTTGCACTGATGAAATAACTATTTTTATCAATTAATCTTTTTAACTATAACTGCATTTTACATAAAGGTTCAATAAAGTTAAGTTAAATCAAACTAATAACAAAACAATGCTTTAACCAATCAGTAACAATAGCAAGAAAAAAACCATTCAACTATGAAAATAGAAACAATAACACATTTAACGAATACAATAACAACATTATACACAGTGGGGAGTTCCCTAAGCAAGACTACACATGGAAAAATAATCCAAATCTATGTTTAAAACAGCAGTTAACATTATACAAACATTATCTATGCATCATTAGCAGTGAAGATGAACAGATTGGAGCGAAAGCAGCAACGCTGGAATAGTGAAAATCTAACACTTTAATACTTAAATACTCTTCAATGATATGGGACCATACAAAGTAGGTCAATTATGAATGGAGATGAGTGTAGGATGAGTAGCGCGATCTTGTAGGCTTGTTAGTGACTAAGGCTGACATATTCCTTAGACCTTTGGAAAATGGCGGCCATTTACAAAAATGTTATTTAATTATTTTTGAACCTCTTTAAAAACAAGGGAATGTTCCCCATTTGAAGTTTGCTGTAAAATCATTAGTTACTGAGATCCCAATGGTGGCACACTTAAAAAAAAAAAAAAAAACACCCTGTATGTCTCACATTTCTGTATCCATTAAAGAGATAGATGTGCCAAGATTCACTTGAAAATGATTCCCTAGACAAACAATTCTACCGATTGCTATCCCACAATAAAGTTTTATTTATACATTTTTATTGTTTTGACCTTTGAGAGATGTAAGCAAAAAGCAAAAAGATGTTCTATTCAAATGTATGCAAACAATTTATTCAGTCACATCTTAATTGTGACTAAATGAACACTCATGTCTTTATAGTCATGATTTGACGATACCTATACGGTACGATATTTTTATGCTGATGAGGGATTATGATCAAACATCGCTTTCTAAATTATAGAAGAAAAACATTACTTCTAAAACTTTTAACTTTTTTTTCTACTGTTGTATTTTTGTATAACCATTGTTTTAGTTGAAATATAAATGAAAACGAGATACCTCAACCTTAACCTTTGTCGATTAAGCATTTCGCATTGTGGTTTCTAACAGTTTTAAAATTTTACAAAGATAATTAAAAATCCAATAAATTGTGGATGAAATGGCTCATTTATAGGCAATCCTCATCATGAAAGGATCGTACAAAACTGTTGTATCCGCTTGCAAATTTAAGCATAAATAATTCATCTCACGCGCTGATCCCTTCTCCATCAACTTTGGATTTGCCCTTTGATTGCTTGTTTCAATATTAACACATGTAAAATGTTAGGGGTTTCGATTTTTGCTTTTCCAACATAGCAATTTGAGTTTTTGAAATAATTAGTTCTCAAGATTTGTATTTGAACGATCACATTACTGCGGTCACATTTTATCCACGTAACAGGAAAACTGTAACGAAATGTAGCCTACGTGATTTAGTTTTCATTTTAATAGTTTTTTGTGTTGTTTACTGATCTAAAATTAAAAATTTACAATGTTTTGTGAAAGTTATGGGTCCACCCTCACATGTACATGTGTACATGTATACATGTATATGTGTACATATGTATGAATACTGTACATTGTTTTAAGATATAAATTA